TACTTACACAAGTTTGGATAAAATCTTTAAATTATATATATATATTTTGAGATCAATTTCTCCCTTACATTAAGGTAATACATTTAAAAAGTTAATTTTTTTTAAATATTAATCCAAATACTTGAAAGTTGAAATGTAAACCAAACCAATAGTTCCTAGCTCCTCTATATAATAAAGGGCCTAGTGAAACAAACTTCCTCAAACCTTTCAAAAATTCGACCTTCCAGGGAGCTGCGTATTGCACAGTCAAATGAGGATGGAAGTAATGCAAGTACTTCACATGAATGGGGGAAATGGCGAGAATAGTTATTCTCGAAATTCAACGGTTCAGGTCTTACGTTTTTCATTCATCTGAACACAAGCTATATACATATGCAACAGGAAAACATTAATTTCCTCTCTTTTATTTTTATTTTTTTAATTTTTTATTAGTTATCATTGCAAAATTCATCTCAAAGTTTTCAAAATTTTTAATTTGCAGCGCAAAATCATATCTTTGGCAAAGCCTATTGTTGAGGAAGCAGTGCTACAAATCATGAACAACAATTATCCAGAGAGCATGGGAATTGCAGACTTGGGTTGCTCCTCGGGACCAAACACCTTGCAATTGATATCTGAAATCCTAAGCATTCTCAACTCCAAATGCAGCCAGCTCGGCCGTCCCTTGCCCGAGTTGAGGGTGTTCCTGAATGATCTTTTCAACAATGATTTCAATGGCATTTTTGTGTCCTTGCCTGCATTCTACGACAGGATTAAGGTAGAGAATGGCATTAGGTCCTACTCATGCTTCATATCCGGTGTACCGGGTTCTTTCTACGGCAGATTGTTCCCTAGCAACAGTCTCCACTTGGTGCATTCCTCTTCTAGTCTCCACTGGCTCTCCCAGGTAGTTAACCGTACCCATTAATAATGAAACCTTTGGAACCGATTCATGTGCAGGTACCGTGGTCACGCACTGGTTCATCAATAATTGTTGTGAAATGTGCATCGCACCAAACTTGATCATCATTATGTCTATGTGCCCACAATTGAATTTGACAGATTTGTTAAAACCTACAGGTCCCAACTGGGCTGGAGAACGATGCTAGGGAGGCCTTGAACAAGGGAAAGATCTTTATCTCCAAGAACAGCCCACAGATTGTGCTGGATGCTTACTCGATGCAATTCCAAAAGGATTTTTCTCTGTTTCTAAGTTCTCGATCAAGAGAAACGGTCTCCGGAGGGCGCTTGGTCCTTTCATTCATGGGCAGGGCATCCACCGACCCCACCTCCGACGAGGAATTCTATCACTGGGAATTATTAGGACAGGCACTTATGAGCATGGCTAAAGAGGTGCCTCAATCCCCGAATATAACATCTATAATTATTGGGATAGAATGTCAAATGTGATATGCCAGATTGCACGACAACGACCAATTTAACATAGTCTTTTGTTATTATAAAGTTTTATTTCTACATTTTTTCATTTTTGTAAAGAGTTAAATATATTATTTTGATGATAACTTTAAGGTTTTGTTAGTAATAAATACCAACTTAACTTTTTCCCTTTTTTCAGGGTTTAGTGGAGGAGCAAAAGGTTGATTCCTTCAATGCGCCATACTATGCACCGTGCCCGGAGGAAGTCAGGGCAGAGACAGAAAAGGAAGGGTCATTTGTGATTGATCGCCTTGAAGCCTTTCAAATTGATTGGGATGGAGGAGGCAGGGAGGTGTTTGAAGCAGCAGTGGCAGCACAGCGAGTGGCGAAGACCATCAGAGCGGTGGTGGAATCGATGCTGCAAGCTCACTTTGGGAAGGATATAATGGATGATTTATTCCGAAGGTTTCAAGAGCTGGTTGAGGATCACCTGTCCAAGACTAGAGCCTACTACGTTAATTTGGTAATTTCCATGATTAAAAAGTGATAAACCAATTAACAAATTAGAAATTGTTGCAGACAAAGAGCATGATGCGATCTGATCAAAATCCTTGTAACATCTGTCAGCTACAATGTAAAAGTTTCTTGGGACTATTTTCAATTCAAAGTTCTATTTCTAATAGTAGTATTTTGTTGCCAACAAATTAAATCGTTGAAACTTCAAAGGTAATTTTTTTTTTTTAGTAAAACTAAAATTTTTTAAATTTAAGTTGGATAGTAAGTAAGTGTGACAAATTAAAATAAAAAAAGAGATTATTTCTCATTATGTATACAAGATTAGAAAAAATAATAATAGTATTTTTTTAGTAAAGTTAGTATATATTAATTTTCAAACCTCAAAGACTTAGTAAATGGTCTTGAATCTTACTCTCTTTTTCTCCACTTTTTTTTTTTTTTTTTTTGAGAATTTGTGGTGTGGGTGGATTTGGGGAAACGGGCCTTTAGGTAATGGAGTGAAACTGCATATAAATGGGCTTCAGGGCATTATTGGGCCTATTGAATGAGATCCATTGAGTATTGCTGTAGTAGGGAGCTAATTTCCATTTATTTCCTTATTCATGCACTGCAAAACGACTACCAACATTTTTCAACCGGGAAATGATGGATTCAAGTACTGAAAAATGGACCTTTTTAAGTCGAAGAAATGACTGCCCTATCCATGCGACACGTTTTAAATTTTAGCCTAATTACTCTCTTTTTTTATTTTTTTTTGTTGTATAATAGTAGACAAGTATCTCTCCCTTTTTATCTTATTCTACCCGTATGTTAAGCGATTTGAATTCATGATCTCTTATTTCCAACAGAAAGAGATTAAGACTGAAATATTTAGGTTATTGGCATTACTCAAAGATTCATAATTAAATGGATTAATTACTAATTACTAGGAGTTGGTCCCTTTCAAGTAGAAAAAGGTTAGGAAAGTTAAGATGCCTGCGTAATGACTGTGGTCTATAGGGTGGTGAAGTTTGGAATTAGGCAGACCGTCTTACCTAAATCCCTACATCATTGTTGTAAATACATAAAATAATTTTTTTTATATTTGATAATGAATTATACAGTAAAAAATAATAATTTACGTCTTTAAATTTCTCTTTATTTATCTCAAACTTCTACAACATCCATTAAGTGTTAATACATAGAAATAATAATATGTATTCACTCTTTTTTTTTTTATATATATATATAAATGAATATGGAAATTGTTATATTTCTATTCTAGTTCTGTTTCTTTCCGAGTTTAATAATCACAGCAAACAGGAATACTTTGTCTATACACCAATTCTGTTCATGTTGAGAAAGGTTCATAAATATCTAAAGATGGAGAGCAACGTAAGAACCCTAGTCGGTGCCCAACATATATTTATGATCGAAACCGTAATGACAGAAAGTCATTAAAATCTGGTTCAATTAATTATGGTTCATGACACAGACTCTGGTCCATGTTTCCTAGCGCCATTGGTTCTTATTTTCATGAACAAAAAAAGAGAGGTCATGCCATGATTTGGTCATGGTTTGATTTAGTGTTTTTAAATTCTACTTGTGAATTGTTTATGCAAAATTGGACAAAACACCCCCAAATCTTAGGGCAAACGACAAAGGTCACCTAAATTTTCATTTCTGTCTTCTATTTAGGAATGGCTTATAAGCTGACTTTGTCTCCCCTTTAATGCCATTTTTCATTCCAATATGGTACAAATGATTGGTTATCTACTTTATGTATCTCTACTTATGTTAGGCATCTTTTAAAAGGAAAAAACCACGAGTCTAATGGACTGATCAAGATAATAACTCTACAATTTGTACCATTATTCACCATGTTACAGCCATTGTCTTCCCAAACAAAAACTAAACTCCATTGTGGATGAGGGTTGATAGACCCACCGGATTTCAAAGGTAGATGAATAATGGGGTCCTTCCCCTCACATTTTGGGTTTTTTTTTTTTTCCTATTCCAAGTCTTGTCAAATTTATAACAGGTTTATCTTTATTGATACTTTTTACTTTTTCTAATGGCAGTAGCCTTTGTACCTTTTCTCATTTGTTAGGCAAATGTGCTCGAATAATCCGTACCCAACTCCCTTTTTGCATTGTATTGATATCCCCTCTAGCGTCATCACAAATATCACGCCTTCATTTCTTTGATACTAACTAATTATTTCATCACCATTAATTTAATATTTGAACACATAAAAGATTATCTTTGTATAAAATTATCTGTTCTTAATTCAAGTTGCAAAACTATACAAGTAAAGTGAGAATAGAAAAGATTACTTAAATAAGGCTTAAAAGATATGAATTTAATCCCAAACTATGTCCTAAGCAATAGAAGACTAAGATTAAGATATGCTCTTAATTGAAAAACAGAGTACACCAATTTGTCCATATTATATCAAAAAGCTCCTTTTTACCCTTTGTAAAATACCCACTGTTTTAAATGTAAATAAAATACAAAAGGAAGTTCTCCTATCAATTCATCATCTACTTCACCTGCATGAAGTAGGAAAAATGCACACTGTTGGTGTCCTTTCCTTTCCAGGGTTCAGTGGTCCTAAAAATGAGAAAAAAGAAGGTTGCTTTGTGGTCAAGTAATTATGACCTTAAATCATTAATTTAATGTCATTGAGAAACATATAATATAATAAACCAAACAAAGCAGAAAAATACCTTACAACATGA